AGGCCTTAGGCCATTCCATTTATGCCCACTGAGTTTGCCTCTTGGTTGAATTTTTAAAACAATTCGCGCCAACAAATCGTCAACGCAACAGCTTCATCCGCGAGTTTCCGCGAGTAAATGGGGTTTAACGTCCTACTGTTCTGCTTCGAGCCAGGTTAATGAAGACGGGCATATAGTGAAGTATGAGGGAGATGTTGACTACTCTTATATCAAATTCAAAATGTCAAGGGATCTTTTACGTGCACGCCAACGTGTACACGAGGCTTTGGTTTTTCGTCCCATCCGAACGACTAGACACGCCGGAAAATCTGGATGATCTTTCTCGGCCAATGCAGGGATCGAACACGTGACCTCCAGGCTAGCGAGTCACCATCCTACCCACTTACCCCCACCTCCCCCTTTCAGTACGACGAAAGAAATTGCAGTGGTCGCGTTCGTGCTCAGTATAAATACATTGTCGGCGATATCACTTTTGTGGAAGCGGACGTTAAATAAAGATATCTGACACACATCTAATATAAATTTCGATTATTTCTTCACTTATCCAAACAAACAAATTTTTAAATACTAAAATAGAAATAAAACAAACCGGACGCATCTTGATAAAGTTTTGATAAAATTATTGACTTGAGGTTCTTGAGTTACGTGTAAAGTAAACATCTATTAATAAGATTATGTAATAAGGTGTATTATATAAATTGACTCAGCTGTTAAAACACGACAACAAACAAAATGAGTTCATGAAAAACATCAATAACCATATCAATTTGTTTGTTTAATTATAAAATATTTTTTTAAAGCCGATAGATGAATTATCCTATCGATGTCGCCAATCTATGGCAAATTTAAAGAAATAATTCATGTTTGTCCAGAAAGAGAGGGGGGGGGGGGTCCACTCGATACAAACTAGGTCATTTCGGGAACAACATATGATTTAATTTTTTATTTCAATAATTCGCTTGCGCGGCGTAGGGGTCTTTAGCAGTGGGACTAAACCAGATGACCCCGTGCGTTATGAACGCGATGATCGTGAATTTCATCTGATCGTGGATTGTTTTTAACTTTCACTGAAATTTCACGTTTGGATACGAGGTGATGCGAGTCGATACGTTCTGATACGATTCGGCGTGCTAGGATGCGATGTGGTCACGACTGGTCTATTTCAGGTATCCAGTTCAGATACGATCAGGTACGTTCCGATAGATAGAGAGGGTGGGGGAGAAAAATGGGGTTTAACCTCCATTCGACACAAACTAGGTCATTTCGGGACTAACATATTGTTCAATTTTATTTCAATAATTCGCTTGTGCGTAGAGGTCTTTAGCGGTGGGAGGAAACCGGAGGACTCGAAGAAAACCCTAGGCGACCCTATTCCTTGTCACTTTCAACCTAGGAATCGAAACCAACGTTCCGATAGGATTGTTCCTACTGCGTCCACGATCTGGTACGTGCAGATACGTTCGGATACTTTTCGACCGATCATCAGTAACCAATGTGCTCTTTTGCGTTAGGATACGATCGTGGTCGCGATGTCTTTTACGATCGGGATCGAAAGTGATCATGATTTGACCTACTAAATGACCCCGACGGGTGTATACACAGCCCGACTGACCATGGACTTCACTTGTCTACGATATCACCTTAGGTGGAAGTGGACGTAAAACTCTAGAAACGAACGAACGAATGGACTTTATTGTTTTCTGAACTTCTGCAGAGATCGCAGTGCATCTTAACAGAACGGGGTGTTTGTCTTGTCCAAGGCTGATCCCGATCACCACGATTTGGAAGCATGATTAGATGCGACCCAATACGATCTAAAGCGCGACTACGATTGACAATTACTCGTGTTGATCGTAGCAACGTTTTGAACCGTCCAAAACTTTTCTACGATCTACACGATTTCTACGACTGGCCTCGGGATATGATGCGGCCTGTTAGAATCGCCGCGATTACTCCACTGTTAAAACCATGATTTCAATCGTAGCGCGAATCGTGATAGTGTGAACCTAGCATAAGAATTGAACCAGTTTTATTTCTAAATCACGCTATACCTCAACAGTGTCCATATGCTTTTACTTACTTTGAAACCGCGGTGACCGATAAGTTAGGCCCTGGCAAGTTAACCAGCATGTCTCACACCAGGTGATGTCCGAGAAAGTTCCTTTAGATCGTCCGGCGTGGTTTCCCCTTGTCAGTGGGACGGAGGGTATAACAAGGGATCGTCTATTCGTTCGGATGGAGTGAAGAACGAGGTCCCGTGTACACATTGGCGTGAACGTAAAAGAACCCTTGACAGTAGGAATTCGAAGTGCTGACCGTAGCGAAGCTAATGTCCGTGGAAATTTTCCCCTCGTAGCACACTGTATGGCGTATGTTTGTCTTCATTAGCCCAATCGGAATAGACAAGTGGCACGTCAAACCCTATCTCATTCAATTTAATTGCTTTGGAACAACGCCATAGTAAATTTGCCATTAAAAGAGTTTCTAGATGTATTCCATAATCTGAACATCATTGACGTTTTTGTTCGTGGAATAGCGTCAAACAATCTGATTAAAGTACAGATCTATATTTAATTACGTTTTTTACACTTTCGATGGCCTACACTATATGAAGATCTGACCAATTGTATTGGGAGGTCGTGTCAGGGGTCGCACGAGCGGCTTTCGTCTCTATGACGTCAGACATTGCTTAATCAATCAGTGTTGACGTTTCTATTGGTTTACCCACAGTTCCGTGTATCGCCGTAACAGATGGTTTTATTGGCTAACCCCTCACGCTATCCAGAACGCAGGTTATATAACAACTCTTCCAGATCCTTGTGTAGTAGGGATCGGTTTTTTAATCAGATTGAGCATCAAATAGAAAATTAACTTTTATCCTATATGGGTGTTGGTGTGTGTGTGTGGGGGGGGGGGGGGGGCACTACTCGCCACTTGCATTCTCCTCTTGTGAACACTTTCTTTGTGATCGGAGTCTGTTCGCCGTTCAGGATCACCAATTAACAAAGCTCGCTGGTAACCTTGGTCTTATTTTTATTAACATTATGATTATTACAGAATATCAAAATATAGCTTCAAAATATCTGAATAATATAATATATTAATACATGAAGTTCTAAAAAACACAAAACAATTAAAATACAAACATTGTAAGAATTAAATTTATATCAATTGGCCTCTTGTAAAACAGTATGGTCGGGTGTTCGATCCCTGTATTGGCCGAGAAAGTTCATCCAGTTTTTCCGGCGTGGTTCCCTTTTGTCAGTGATGCAGGATGGAGGGCCTGACAAGAACAGCTGTCTAATCGTTCGGATGGGACGAAAAACCGAGGTCCCGTGTACACATTGGCGGGGAGGTGAAAGATCCCTTGACAGTTGGAATTCGATATAAGAGTAGGCCGTAGTGCCGCTGTCCGGGCAAAATTTCCCTCATAGCACTGTGTATGGCGTAGGCCCGTCTTCATTAGCCCAGTTCGGAGCAAAACAGTAGGACGTTAAACCCCATTTCATTCTATTTGTAAAACAGTAAATGGGTTATATAGTTGAGAGCTACATGAACTGGTCTAATGTATAGCATCTCGAAATCTCCCTTTTTTAAATTTAATTGTTTACCCTAGTTACGGTGGAAATAATCACCTATGACATTACATTATATACAGAAACGCCCTGCGTTATCTCCGTCCAGCGGATGGCACACGATTCAAAAAAGTTAGTTAACTTTTTGTGACAATGGGGAAACAGTTGGCTTAGGGCTTAGGGAAAACACGACTAATGTAAATCATCCAAGATTTGAATTTAACACCTATAGTTGTCCACGTTCAAGAGAGCAACCCCTGGATACGACATTCAAAATGGTATGCTTATGATACAATTATATATGTGATATATGTTCTACTCTATATTAACAGGACCTCATAACGGCTATTCTATCTGGATGTCAGCGCTTTATAAGTGCCTTAAATTATATATTGTAAATTATATTATATATTAACAAATCGACTGTTATAAATTATTTTCTATTGTATATTATATATTGTATATTGTAAATAATAATATTGTATATTGTAAATAATAATATTGTATATTGTAAATTATATATTTTATACTGTAACTTATATATTATATATTGTAAATTATATATTATATATTGTAAATTATATATTATATATTGTATATTATATATTATATATTGTATATTATATATTGTAAATTATATATTATATATTGTAAATTATATATTTTGTATTGTAAATTATATATTATGTATTGTGAATTATATATTATTCATATATTATATAATATTCATATATTGTAAATTATATAGTATATATTTTAAATTATATATTTTAAATTATATATTTTAAATAATATATTATGTATTGTAAATAATATATTATTAATTGTAAATAATATATTGTAAAATATATATTGTGTATAATCTTATTATAGACACTGTATTATAAATTAAGAAAAAGAATCGACCAAAGAAATAGCTGTTAGTCAGTTAGTGGGACCGTCAGTTAGTCAGTTAGTGGGACCGTCAGTTAGTCAGTTAGTGGGACCGTCAGTTAGTCAGTTAGTGGGACCGTCAGTTAGTCAGTTAGTGGGACCGTCAGTTAGTGGGACCGTCAGTTAGTCAGTTAGTGGGACCGTCAGTTAGTGGGACCGTCAGTTAGTCAGTTAGTGGGACCGTCAGTTAGTCAGTTCATGTCTAATCGGGCCCTGAGTTCACAAAACATTATCACACTTGAGTTAAGAATTTACTCAAAATTTTGGGCCTTATTTTAACTTAAATATAGCCCTTTATAAAATTTATTTTGTTTTAATGTATCAAATACATCAATAAGAAACTATGTATAAAGTTTTGTGTTTCTGGATCAAGGATATTTCTCATAAATAGTGATTGAAACATGAGTAAAGTCTGAACTTAAGTTTGAGATTGCTTTGTGAACTTGGGGCCTAGACGCCTAAAATATTTAATAGCGCAAATGTTTCACAAAATACTTTCATAGTTTATCTAAATACTTAAACGATGGATTTTTATACACATATTGGGTGTCACTGTCTTCGACGGGAATTTCCTCATTGGCAATAATTGATATATTGGTTTTGTCTGGAGTAATAATCGATATATTGGTTTTATCTGGTGCCTCTAAATTGATTTCTATTGGCGCCTCCTTGGCCCATTCTTGTTCTTTCCCACTTCCAAATATACCAAACAATATGGCACCGAACAGATTGAGACCTCCGTTAATATAGAAAACTGTCTGCCATTGTTTCAATGTTCCCTGTAAATGGAGAGGAGAAAAGATACTCATTATTATAATGGACAATGTGACTCTAAATCAAGGAGTTTTGGAGTTTTATTTGGAATAAATTGATGTAATGACTGACAAGGCTAATATTTGGCATACCAATACTAGTTCATCAACAGCATGTAATCTAAATTATTAATTAGACATTAATTAAACATACATTATGTTTAATTTCTGTAGGCCTGAAATGTTATCTAAATTATTAATTAGACATTAATTAACCTATCCAGACCATAATCAAATCTAGATGGCATCTCTAGCCTGCGCGCTTTAGTGGATTATGAGCCGATTTACTGCATAACTGCATAATTTGTCTGCGATATCACCTCGGTGGAAGCGGACGTAAAATACAACTAACCCATCATCATAACTTTCCTTCACGATTTAACGATTAAATGGATAATCGAGACTATGCTTGTTATCGTACTGACTTTAATAATGATGATCGAGGCTAGGCGGAAATTTCAATCGCTTAGTTCTCGGTGCATAGTGGATCAATTTAAATGAAATTTTCAGCAAATTGCCTTTACATTATCTAGTTTTTAACTATTATAGTGAGAACTGCCAGCTCTTTATCTTATCCCCCATAATGTATGTTTAATTAGACATTAATTAACATATCAAGGCCATAATCAACTCTCGGTGCCATCGTAAGCCTGCGATATTTATTTGATTTGAATACTTTTTGTGATGGATAATTTAACGTAAAAATGGATAATCGACACTTTGTTTATTATCGTACCAACGGTAGTAATGACGATCGAGGCTATCCTAAAATTGAATCGCTAATATCTGGTCTTAGAGTGAAGCTATTTGACTGAAATTTTAAGCATATCCTCTTTACATTATCTAGTGTTTAACTATTATAGCGAGAACTGCCAACTCTTTATCAAATCCTACCTAATGTCCCTTTAAGTTAAAAATTTACTCAAAATTGTTCACCTTATTTTAACTTAAATATAGCCCTTTATAAAACTTTTGTTGTTTTAATGTACCAAATACATCAATAAGAAACTTTGCAATGTTTTGTGTTTAAGGATTTCAGATATTTCTTATAAACAGTGATCGAAAGTTGAATTAATTCCTTAACTTAAGTCTAAGAATGCTTTGTGAACTCGGCGCCAGCATTTCTATCAGAATATTTGTCCAATTTAAATCTTTACTGTATTCGGGTTTAACCACGCCCGTTGGAAACCCTTGTATGTTTAACGATCCTTTAAACTCGAAAATGAAAATACCAGTAATTTGACTGGAATTGTCAAAATATTCCCTTTTCATTATCATTTTCTAAACTATTATAACAAGAACTGTCAGCTCTTTATCTAAATCTTACATAGTGCATCTTTAATATAACTATTATAGCAAGAACTGCCAGCTCTTTATTTATCTAAATCTTACATAATGCATCTTTAAAATACTTCACTCAATGATTATTTTAGACAGGTATGTCGTTATGAGGTTATTACACGATACAATTAATTTTTTTACAAAAAAACGAATATTGACAAACCAGTGATGATAGTTAGGAGATAAACGTCCACGCGTACTTTCTGTGTCCTGTAGGCAGGTCAATTACATCACTGATGATCGCATCACTAGTGACAGTTTATTGATTGCATAATGCACAGTAATATGGCGAGTTATCGGAAAGATGTAGAACTGTATTTCTTATTTACAGAAAATTAAAGATCAGAATTTCTGATCCGAAAATTGATTCCATACAGCTCTCCCGTCAAAAGTCAAAACCTATAACTCACTTTTTTTTTTATCAAAATTGAGTTTGCACCAAATTTGTAGTTACTAGGGTATGTGCCTCTTGTTGTTGTACTAGATATTCCAATCTTTTGGTTTTGTAAGCAGTTACACCCATGACACAACCTAACAACTTCCTTCATTTGCCTAGTATGCCACAGAAAAACCTAGTAACTCAATAGTCAAATCAATGCATAAGCTGGGGTTTAATATTTATTCATTACGCTTTCCTTTGTTTTCTCAAAATAAGAAAAACGTGAGTTACTAGGTGTTGCCTTTTGACGGGAGAGCTGGTTATCGTCTAATTCTTCTTCGTGTGACGCACTTTAAAAAGAAACCGTTGGGCTCCAACAATTCGAGTTCCATCGACATAAAACTTGTCCTGTGTGTTCTTTGGGCAATTACGCAAGCATTCTGGATATGACGTCACAATTCCTAGATGGCTTCGATGAGATCACGGTTGGTTCTCATTCATATAGTACGCTCGTATAATCGGTTTATCCACAGCCAAGAGAGAGAGAGAGAGAGAAGGAGAGAGAGAGGAAATGGGGTTTAACGTCCACTCGACACAAATTAAGTCATTTCGGGACTAACACATGGTTCAATTTTATTTCAATAATTCGCTTGAACGTAAGGGTCTTTAGCGGTGGGTGGAAACCGGAGGACCCGAAGAAAGCAAACGAGGTTGCACGTGCGACCCTACTCCTTGTCACGTACAACCGGGGAATCGAAACCACGCCAGTTGACTCAATGACAGACCTTGTAATATAGCGTGCACGTGCTAACCATTCGGCCATCCGCCCCCCCCCCCCCCCACCCTGCCCCACAGCCAAAAAGCATGTGTCCGTCTGTTCAAATTCCTGGACTAATATACTCTTGTTGTCTCTTTTTATCATGCCTAACGCACGCGCAGGGGTCGTTCCGGTAGGAGGAAACCTGCGTACCCGGAGTAAACCCATAGGGTTGAGAAGGCGCCCCTATCTCTAAGCCACATACGCTTACACCAGTGACCGAAACCACAGCAGCAAGCCAAAGGTGACCGGCCAGCTAGAGCTTGAAGCCTGACACTCTAGACCACCAGGCCACCCATTGACATATAGGTGTATCAACTATAGGTAGGTATGTCTGTAAATTGTTCATAATCTCCAAAAAGAGATTTAAAATAAATTTTAATATTTTGAAAGATATGTGAATTACCTCTGGTGTTAAGGCCGTGGTAAGAATTGGTACACCGATTGAAACGGCACACCCAACCGTCATTGTTAAACCAGATATAGGTCCAGCAAATCTATCATAAAATAAAGCAAACATAAATATATTATTATCGTTGTATTCTTTGAATGACATTTAGTAATTGCTTCATAATCAAATAAAACACTATTTATGGATAACAATTACTATGGTTTATTATACTGTGACGTTTCAACAAGATTTCACAATATTTGTGTTGATATAGGCTTGAAACCGAAATAAAATGAAATGAAATGAAATGGTGTTTAACGTCTTACTGTTCTGCTCCTAACCTGGGCTAATGAAGACGGACATACGCCATACAGTGTGCTGTGACGGAAATTTTGCCCCGACAGTGGCACTACGGCCTACTCTTATATCGAATTCTGTTAAGGGATCTTTAACGTGCACGCCAATGTGAACACGGGGCCTCGGTGTTTCGTCCCATTTTAACGACGACTAGACAGCTGTCATTGTCAGGCCCTCCGTCCTGCATCACTGACAAGGGGAAACCACGCCGGAAAATCAGGATGAACTTTCTCGGCCAATGCACCTCCAGTCTAGCGAGCCAGCGTCTTACCCACTTAGTCACCGTGACCACTAGGCTTGATAACGATAAACTGATAAACTATAACCCATACTTATGGAAGGACAATTTTATTTAGGCGACGTTTCGAAGAGTATTCTCTCAACGTTTTCAAGCAAGTATAGGGCAATTTTATATAGACAAGCAAACACAGCAAATCAGACACCATGCATGACAACAACAAGATCAAAGGCATGAAAACAACATGATCAAAGGCAGGGCGCATATAAAAGATTAATGTGGCCTCTGATAATTGGCATTAATTAACATTGGAGATATTAAAGATACATTATCTAAGAGCTAAATCTGTCTGTTGCAGGTCTTTCTTGTAACAGGGTGAGGGAGTTCAAGTTAAACAATACTTGTCCGATCGCTAACCCGCTGTGTCACCAAAATCAATATGATTATATTAGGTTGGCCGATTGTTGACCGCAGTATCACCAACATTCAATATGATATTCATTGTGTAGTTCTTTATTTTATATAGTTAATATCAATAATATATGTACATGCACGTTTTAATTAACTTCTTAAGATATCAAAGTTTGGTATAAATTAACTGAGGTTTTGAGACAAATCAGAGTGGAGCTTTCGAGCCCACCCGAGCAGAGTCTCTCTGTTTCGAGAAAACGGAGAGCGCACAGACAGGCGTATGGACTCACCCGAGTTCAACCGCTGCCTTGGCAGAGAGACGGAATGGTAGAGTTAACATATATACATTCACCGTCTTGATGAGTTCCTGTATATATTCTAAGTACCTGTATTGCTGTTGTAGTTATGTAGATGTGTAATATTCTGTTCCGATGTAAATAAACCCTATATTTATTAAACTAACCTCTGTTATCACTAAGAAAGTGTTACATTCTTTAGGCCTGAAATGTTTTCTAAATTATTAATTAGACATTAATTAACTTATCCAGGCCATAATCAACTCTCGATGGCATCGGATTTCTCCGATATTAAATAGATTAAAACAGTTCAGCCATATTTTGATCTAAGCTAAAAATGGAGTAGGAGACTTAGCTTCGAACAACCAGTACAGTGGTTAAAATTATTGCACACGTCTTGTCAAAACTTCAAAGACTTATATCTTCATTCACAATAGAGTAATTTGAATGAAATTTTCACATTATTCATTTTACATTATCTATTTTCGAACTATTATAGCAAGAATGGCTAGTTCTTTATCTAAATCTTACATAATGTATCTTTAATAAGTAATTATAGGGGTAAATAATTTTAATTAGACAACCAATAATGGCAAATCAGAATCTACACAGGAGTCGAGGGGCTAGGTGAGGGTACATCCACCTGTGCATACATGAGGTTAAGGGCTAGGTGAGGTTACATCAAAGGAATATTAAAAGACTGATAATAGGTAATAACACTATTGAGCACTATTTAAAACCAATGGAAATAGTGATACAATTAGTAAAGGACAATAACGTGAACAGAGAGAGAGAGAGAGAGAGAGAGAGAGATGATCTCTTGATGATCTGTCAATAATCAACATAACAATTTGGTCAAGTGGAGAGAGAGAGAGAGAGAGGAGGGGGGAGTAACGTCCACTCGACACAAACTAGGTCATTCCGGGACTAACACATGGTTCAATTTTTTTATTTCAATAATTCACTTGCGCGTAGGGGTCTTTAGCAGTGGGAGAAAACCGGAGGACCCGGAGAAAACCCACGAGGTTTGACAGGCGACCCTTCTCAGGAGAGACTAATCTTTCGTTTTGAACCGCTACTGCTCATGTTTATGGGGGGTTTGGATGGCTGAATGGTTAGCACGTGCGCGCTGTACCATAAAGTCTGTCATTGAGTCATCTGGCGTGGTTTCGAATCCCCGGTTGTACGTGGCAAGGAGTAGGGTCGCCTGTCCAACCTCGTGAGTTTTCTACGGGTACTCCGGTGTCCTCCCACTGCTAAAGACCCCTACGCGCAAGCGAATTATGGAAATAAAATTAAACCATATGTTAGTCCCGAAATGACCTAGTTTGTGTCGAGTCGGCGTTAAACCCCATTTCTCTCTCTCTCTCTCTCTTTCTGGTCATGTTTATAAAACAACTCATAGTTACCTTGGAGCTATATCCAAATGGTTCACTCTAAATGCTGCCATTGTTGCTGATTGAAAACCAGACGCTGAAGCCATTAAGGCTACTGCTAGAGCTTTCTGATCCGGACCAAGGTACCCTAATCCTATGATCAATACTGCTGGAATAATCATACCTGAAAAACAAAATCTCAAGTACAGGTACCATTACTGCTGGAATTATCATACCTACAAAACAAAATCTGCTGGAATTATTATACCTACAAAACAAACTCTGCTGGAATCATCATACAAAACAAAATCTGCTGGTATCATCACACATAGAAAACAGAACCTGACGGAATTATCATACGTACAAAACAAAATCTGCTGGACATCAGAATCATTATCTATATCCTTAGGCGGCTGGGTGGTTAAGTGGTCGTCACTGCTGGAATTATCTGCATCCCAATAATTATTACTCAGCATCTGAATGGTAGTCTCCGTCGCCATTAAGTGTGGTTTAATTGTCGAGTACGATTGGCACGGTGCCCGTGACGTTATTTGAATTAAAGGTACGACAGCATCAAAGCATGACGTCACATCTGCATATTAATCGTCACAAACATTCTAATGATCGTTTGTCGTGGCGTCGTGACGTTTAATCGCCACTAACATCTCGTGACGCCGTAACGTTTAATCGCCACTAACATCTCGTGGCGCCATGACGATAAATCGACACTTACAATTCAAAATGGTTTGATGGTCGTCTCCTTTAGTATTCGTGGTAATATCATATATCATAATAGATTATTATATATCCAAATAGATCACCATATACCCAAACAGATTATCATATACTATTCAAAAAAAGTAGGGGATATTTGATTTTGGGGGCATAATACTAAAATATGCAAATGACTACGAAAAAAGTCACTATAGAACCTAACAGAAGAAACATTTCCAGTTACATGTGACGCCCAAACGCACCAATAGCTACCGCATGGAATGCAGGTGATGCTTGGGATCATCATGGGGGTCCAACCCAAGATTTGCACGATTCTGACTTTGAATGTTACAGTCATTGTGGCATTGAATTCCAGGGTGGAAACATCAGTTTAATTGTTTTAGTGACCAGAAAACAAATTTTGATATGCGTCGGCTTACCCAAAATGAAAGGTTACGTGCCCTTGGCATGCTACAGATCGGCACAACACAGACGGTTGTTTCTCAGTCTGTCATAAGCAGGCTATGGTCCAGATACCGTGATACACAATCTGTACAGGACAGACCACGCTCAGGTCGACCAAGGGCGACAACTCAAGCCCAGGATCGATTTATCCGTACCTTGGCCTTGAGAAATCGTGTCATCACAGCAAATCAGATCAGCGCTCGTCTTCAAACAGACACTGGTGTGAGAGTGAGTGGCCAGACGATTCGGAATCGACTGCATAGGGATCACCTTCGCGCCCGACGTCCTCGCGTGATCCCTTGTTTGAGAGATCATCACATTCAGGCAATACGTCGTTGGTGTAGGGATCGTCAACACTGGGATAATCGACGCTGGAGCAATGTGATGTTTTCAGATGAGTCAAGGTTCACTGTTGATTTTTTGGACAGACGTAGGAGGGTGTGGCGTCGTCGAAACGAGCGCTTCCAAGACGTTAACGTCATCAGACATGATCGATTTGGGGGTGGTTCTGTTATGGTGTGGGGAGGCATCACTGTTGCTGGAAGAACGGCTTTACATGTTGTTGCAGGGCGTGTTACAGGCCAGTACTACCGGGACAACATCTTGGCAGTCCATGTTGTGCCGTTCGCACGACGTCATGGCCGCCGTTTCATCTTCCAGGTTGACAACGCAAGATGTCACAGGGCCAGGATCGTTACAGGTTACCTCCAACAACAGAACATCACCACATTACCTTGGCCAGCACTGAGTCCCGACCTCTCCCCCATCGAGCATGTCTGGGACATGCTTGGACAGAGGTTACGTCAACGTCAACAACGTCCTGCCAATGTCCAAGAACTTGCTGCTGCGTTGCAACAGGAATGGGACAATCTGGACCAAAATGACCTTAGACGTCTCATTAGGAGTATGCCACGTCGGATCAATGCTTGTTTGGCAAACAGAGGAGGATTTACCCGTTACTGACTTGGTTGTGATGCTGTGGTAACTTTGCTGTTTGACCCCGGATATCATTTTACCCTTATAATGGTCAGTCTGTGCCTTACTTAGTCTAACGATCATTTGGAATAAATCGATGAATGTGAACTTCATTTCATTTTGTCATTTGTTTCTTCGTCAGTTTCATTAGGTGACTTTAATAACACTTAAAAATCAAATATCCCCTACTTTTTTTGAATAGTATATATCCAAATAAACTACAATATATCCAAATAGATTATCATATATCCAAACAGCCATTACCATATATCCAAATAGCCATTACCATATATCCAAATAGATTAGCATTTATCCAAACAGATAATAATATATCCAAATAGGTTATCATATATCCAAACAGATTAGCATTTATCTAAATAGATTATCATATACCCAAATAGGTTATCATACATCCAACTAAATTATCATATATCCAAATAGATTATCATATATCCAAATAGGGTTGCATATATCCAAATAGATTAGCATTTATCTAAATACCAAAAATAATTACCTAAAATACTTTGAAAAAGTTTTCTGTTGTTGGTCATGGAGAGATATTTTCTCTCCGCTATAAAATCAGCTAAACTAGCGAAAACCAGACCCATGAAGAATCGGGTTATGAAAGGTAAAGCTGAGAAAATACCGTTCTGAAATAAAATGAAATGAAATTGGGTTTAACGTCCTACGGTTCTGCTCCGAACTGGGCTACTGAAGACGGGCATACGTCGTACAGTGTGTTATGAGGGAAATTTTGCCCGGACAGCGGCACTAGGGCCTACTCTTATATCGGATTCCAACTATCAATATAGTTTATATATATGTACGTTACAAACTAAAATGGTGTTATCAGTAGAATGTCGTCATGGAAACAGGACACCGAATTACTACACGGGTCGTTAACAGAACTTCCCAAATGATATTACTGAGTGACGGGTGGCACTTTTAAATGCCAACTGTGCCAGTTACATCACAACTCAGCATCTGTTTGAAACCTCACTTGCAAGCTAACCTTGTTACAAAGAATAACAGTAGTCCTATCACTTGGAAAGTTTTATTTTTATTTGACTTGACTTGTATATTTATCTATTTTATCTGGTAATGTAATTAGGTTATAATTTTTTTATGAATCTTTAATTATTATATTTTTATCATGTATTAAATTGTCTATTTTGAGATTATTATAATTTTTTTATGAATCTTTAATTATTATATTTTTATCAAGTATTAAATTGTCTATTTTGAGATTATTATACTTCTCAGCTATTTAATTTTAATTTATTCACATCATTAATTTCAGTCTATATTGCTGTATTTTATACGGTTTCGTTGTCGGTTATATCAGTGTCATTATAAACCCTATGTTAGGGTGACCCACCATAAATAAATATCTTCATATATCTCCATATATCTCGACAATTACGCCACAATATTTATATATATGCCAAGCCTCAAATCAGTTTCACACAATTATAGTCACTAAATAAACGATCATGTTGTACTTAATAAGCTATGACCATTAATCATCTATAAATAATAGACTGAAAACTGGTTCCAAGTGTCGTCCATAACATCCAGACACTTTTGAGTAAAAGATAGGTTACGTGCCCTTGTTTTGAAATTAGTCTCGTTTAACCAGTCTATCGACCATTCTACGTCTGATTGACAGGTCGGGATAATCAAGACTACTTTTTTACGAAACATAACAGAAAGCTAGAACAAGAAATTGAATTTAGAAATAAGCACGTTAGGTAGCTCAACAATCGTTTTACGAACCTTGTAAAAGTAAAATGAAACTACTGCTAGTATCATGTTCCTGTCTAACCCGAGTGATTCAGAGATATTATTTGTACTAAACCAAAAGACGCCGCTCTTAACGGTACAGTTAATGATAAAGCGATTTAAAAAATGAAACGAACGTAATTTCTAAATCTGCTGTAATAACCAAGCAACTTAATTTCACTGCTATTTAAAACCGTCAACAATAAATTATTTACGGCTGTAATAGTTGATAGATTTGTAGAGAATTGCACGTGCCATGGCTATTTATAGTATCATACTATCAGAAAGTTGGTCTCGGCACGGCGAATGTGTACTCTTCAGTGGTAGTCTCGAACTATCAGCGGTGGACTTTATTTCTGTAGAGTACATGGGCCACCCTACCTATGTATTTGTATATAGCTATAGCAGAGAGAGAGGGAGAGAGAGAGGGGGGGGGGGGGAGAGGGGGAGAGTCCCCCATTGCTAAAGACCCCTGCGCGGAAGCGAAGCGAATTATTGAAATAAAATTTAACCATGTTAGTCCCTAAATGACATAGTTTGTGTCGAGTGGACGTTAATCCTCATTTCTCTCCCACTCTCTCATTTATAAATATTATACTTATACATTGTATATGTCTAGACTTACGTCCGTGACGTCATACTCAAGAACATCGTTCATATAAATAGGTAAAAAGTTTGAGAATAGAGTCAAAAACCAGGAATGACAGCAGTGAGATATTAATAATGCCCAGAAAGGTAAAGATGTCAATATTTTAAACCATGGAACACGAAGAATCTGGAAAATAAAAGGGATAATGAAAAGAACAGTAGAAAAAAACATTGTAAATAAAAAAGGAAATGCAACTCAATTCGGTAATTTTGAGACTAATATGTGGTCATTTTATTTCAATAGTCACGTGTTTAAACATACATTATGCAAGAGCAAAATCTGATTATTGCAAGTCTTAATTTAGGCTCCAGATGTTATAGAAATTATAAATTAGATCTTTATTTAAACAACAAGCCCAAAATCAACTCTGTAGACCCACGGATGGCTCGGAAACAGCTTGGATTTAAATAGGATTTCACTTATCAATTAATTCAAATATGGCGCATCCTGATGAGAATACGTCAGTTAGATCGAGGTTAAATGATAGAGTGTACTTAGCGAGGCCGCTGTAGAGCGTTTCCGCATGCCATTGAAAACTTTACTTGATAATCGAGATATGTAGGTGGATCAGCCAAACGATCAGCCACGGTGAAGGCGCATTTCACTACCATTTCTAGTCAAATATTACAATGATGATATCTATGTTCAGATTAAAGTAATTTGACTGAAATTTTCAAAATATTCTTCTTTCATCATCTTCTTTTGAACTGTTATAGCAAGAATGGCCAATTCTCTGTAAAAATCTCCCATAATGTATCTTTAATATTTTGCCAAGACAGTGGTGATAAAATGTTGTCAAAGCCTCACCGCGCGTGCTTTAATGTTGACGCATTGACGTTGTGAATTATTTAGTTCACATGACTTAAAATGACTTAATTCGGTAAATAAAGAACGTCCCATGCGTTAAGAGAAGTTCTTAGTCGTTCGGACAGGACGAAAACCCCAGGTCCCTCCGCGTACACGCATGGGTGTACACTATAACAACCGTGACAGCGGGACTTCGATGAAGAGTAGACTGAATAACTGCTGTCCTGGCAAAATTCTCCCCCATAAACGTCTCTAAATGGCAGGAGTATTGTGTTAATCAGACGTGAAGTCCCACGCCTGCCCTATTCTATCATAATGGGTTGTTTCTCAATTTGAAGACAAAGACAACTGTCTAGTCGTTCGGATGGAAAGAAACCCCGAGGTCCTGTATATACATTGGCGTGCACGTAAAAGATCCCTTGGCAGTTGGATTTCGATATAAAGTAGGCCATAGTGCTGCTGCCCAGACAAAATTTCCCTCATAGCACACTGTATGACGTACGCCCGTCTTCATTAGCCCAGTCGAAGCAGACAAATTAAAGCAGGAAAATGAATCAAGGGAGATAATTCTATGTAATGATTTGGAGACAGACCCCACTTAATTTCTCCGTTGACTTTAGTGTTAGTTCTTGTCATTTTGCCAGACTCGCAACTTTTTGTTTTGTTGAAGCTGAACTTTTTCCACTACAAACGGAAAAATAATTTTTCCGCCTAAAAACCAAGAATAATCACCAAAGTCTTATATACCTAAAGTTTAACACAAATGACAAGATATAAAATTTAATGGGAATGAACTGGAATCGTTGCGATATCACCTCGGTGGAAGCGGACGTAAAATACAACTAACTGAAATCGATTCCTACCTTCTTTTTGGAAGGTTTAACCTTGTCATGCTGAATGTAATCTTTTTCTTCTTCTGAGATTCTTGGATGTTTATCAGGCGAATTATAAACCGCAAACCACCAAAATATCATCCAAAAAATTGTTCCTAAAGCTAAATATATAAATATGATTCATACGTATCTTTAATTATATACCACGAATCTCTGAAATGAAATGAAATGAAATGGGGTTTAACGTCCTACTGTTCTGCTCCGAACTGGGCTTATGAAGATGAGCATATGCCATACATATATGCCATGAGGGAAATTTTGCCTGGACAGCGGCACTACGAACGGCCTACTCTTATATCGTATTGCATCTGTCAAGGGATCTTTTACGTGCACCCCAATGTGTACACGGGACCTCGGATTTTTGTCCAAACCAAACGATGGGTTTGCTCCGGGTCCTCCGGTTTCCTCCCACTACTAAAGACTCGTACGCGCAAGCGGAGTATTTGAAATAAAATTAAACCATATGTTGGTCCCGAAATGACATAGTTTGTGTCGAGTGGACGTTAAACCCCATTGCTCTCTCTCTCTCTCTCTCCCTCTCTGTAGCAAATATCTCTGTTTAAATTTATATTTGGAACGTGTTTAACCAGTTCTTTTACATGTGACATTGATGGACAGTGACATGTCCTTTAATGGACATCAACATATTTTCATTGAGTTAGGACATTCAAAATAAAATAATATCTCGAGATATTAAGTCGAGCGTTCGAGTTACTAAGTCGAGCGCTCGAGATAATACAATTGAACATGTCTCAATTGATGTTTTCAGCTTTATAATTTTGTGCATTATTTAATGATAAACTTAGTATCTCGAGCGCTCGACTTGTACCGCGAGCGCTCGAGATATTATTATTTTGTGTTGTGTGAACTAAATCAGCCACCGTAATACAAGGATTGATCGTGTTAACTTACTAAATACATAGAATATAAAGGGCCAGCCATCATCAAGTGGTATTTCACATAGAAATCCAGCAATTCCAGTAGCTACAACATTTCCCAGATTAATCCCTGAAACAAGCGAAAATAGAGAAACACTTGCAACTTCCATACGAAATGAGAGGAATTTCGAAAATATTAGTTGTAGTCTAAGTCCTGTTTCCAGGTTTCGAAGGATTCTGGTAGATCGTTCACTGGTATTTTATTTTGCTCTGTCAAAATAGCTATGATTGGCCACGAAAACGGACAGAGCGATTTTGCCATTGTGGGTAGTCGCGTAGCCAAATTGGACAAAGCGGAAGTTGAACTGTATTAAAAGAACATGGAACTGTCGATTCCGATTGACTTTTTAGTTGCGCATAAATTCTAATTTTAATGAAAACCAGTCGAGATAAACGCATTTTCATATACGTAAACAATTAGTCTTTCAACTTCTATAATGTTTGAACTTGGGCAATTTCGGAATGCATATGGCGGACGGACGGATGAATACAGACGACAACAGTATACGACCACATTAACAGCTATGAAATGAAATGAAATGGGGTTTAACGCCCGACTGGGCTAATGAAGACAGACATTAACAGCTATACAAAACCCAAAGAAAATAGAAAATAAAGACAAAAACGTCACCTGAACTGGACACCGCCATCAGCCTTGCCTTCTCAGATTTTGTTGCCCATTCAGACCACAGAACTTGCATTGATGGTAAAATTATACCCTGTAGATAGAACGATCAAATGATAATGAATTTAATCGTAATAGTACATGCTTATATTCGTAATGGTATATTTATAATCGTAATAGTATAATCGTAATGGTATATATTTATAATCGTAATGGTATTTTATAATCGTAATAGTATAATCGTAATGGTATATATTTATAATCATAATGGAATATATTTATAATCGTAATGATATATATTTATAATCGTAATGGTGTATATATTTATAATCGTAATGGTATATATTTATAGTCGTAATGGTACATGCTTATATTCGTAATGGTATATTTATAATCGTAATAGTATAATCGTAATCGTATATATTTATAATCATAATAGTATATATTTATAATCGTAATGTTATATATTTATAGTCGTAATGGTATAGATATTTATTATCGTAATGGTATATATTTATAATCGTAATGGTATTTATAATCGTAATGGTATATATTTATAATCGTAATGGTATATATTTATAATCGTAATGGTAAATATTTATAATCGTAATGGTATATATTTATAGTCGTAATGGTAGATATTTATTATCGTAATGGTATATATTTATAATCATAATGGTATTTATAATCGTAATGGTATATACGTATAATCGATATCCATTGATTTTGAGTTTCATCTAAATCAATCGGACAACAACTTGAGCGATCTTTCTATAATCACAGACAATAACCCAAGAAGTTACTGCCCCATGTATGTTTGAAGTATCATAAATATAGGATAAAAATAATTATTGTGACCTGTAGAGTGTCCACATATAAAATGTTGTTCGGGGGGAATAGCCCCCATCTCCCACCATCGCCCAACCCTCTGGGATGTTCAAAAGAAAATTACACAGGTAATCTATGACTTTTTGGGTATACTTCGAATGACAGCCCACTAATGCTTGATTTCACCAGATAACGGAGCCAACACCTCCGTTAAATATAATGGCAAGTTAACCACATGTTAAAGTTAACGGGGCTACCAGCAACAATCTTTCTCTCTGTTAAGTAAACGATCCGTTAACTCCATCTTAACGGATCGTTAAAAGTAAACAGAGCTTTGAGCAACAGGTCCCAGGTATTCAATGGGCGTCCTCGCTAGAGATAAAGGGACATAATTTATAGGTGAGGCGGTCCCACGTCACCTCATTGTTTACCTTATAGCATAGTTTTCCTGTACATTCATTACGAACTCGTGTGTTGACAAACGTTACTTTTTGTCGTTAATATGGAATTTAATACCGATACGGTCACGTCTAACCGAGTTTTTACTAGAAACACCTGATGGGAATTCCTTCAGCGAGGACGCCCATTTTATATCTTACCGATGATATTCCCATGATTATTCTGATAGCCACCACAACCTCCACTCTATATCTAATACCAACAGGAGTCAATCCATTACACACATTAGCTATTAACATAGCTACAAGGATGACCATTTTAGGGCCGAATCTTTGAGCCATTAGTCCCCCTAGTAACGGTGTTACTATGTAACCATAGAAATATGAAGATAGTACCACACCCACCCATTCCTTTGGTACCATCGCTGAGGTCTTCTGAAAACAGATTATTATAAATATAGTAGCTCATCTATTCCACACACTTCTTAAAGCACCAAAGGGGTGGGAATACGCCGGGTGAGGGGATGGGAATACTCTAAGTGAGGGAGTGTGAATAATCTAAGTTACGGGATGGGAATACCCTAAGTTAAAGCGATAATTTCATATTTTCTAAGAAAGTCAAAACATAATTATTTCTATGCCTTTTGCTCAATAGGTTGTCAACTCACTATTACATGATTATAGGTATTATTCTCCCTCTTAAAAATCCTTTGACCCCGGAAATAATAACACAATTACCTCCCTTGTTTTTCTATTTCCCCCCCCCCCCCATGGAATAGCTATCTTCAAACGTTTGAATTTAAAGTTGAAAATGATATTTTTGCCAATTTCTCAACTGGCAATAGTGAATTATAGGATTAATAGGATTATTCTTTAACAAGGTAGGACAGTTTATGGATACCATCTATTTTAAGGCTTTATTTTAATAAATTTTAAAAATATAACTTAAAAATATAAAATTGCAGCTTTAAGGGATGGGATACTTTAAGTTACGGGATGGGAATAATCTAAGTTAGGAGATGGGAATACTCTAAATTACGGGGAGGGAATACTTTAAACATACATTATGCAAGAGCTAAATTTGGCTATTGCAGTTCTTTCATTAGGCCTGAAATGTTATCTAAATTATTAATTAGACATTAATTAACCCATCCAGACCATAACCAACCCTAGATGGCATCGCTAGCCTGCGATCTTTAGTGGATTATGCATAACTTTCCTTCACGATTTAACGATTAAATGGATAATCGAGACTATGCTGTTTATCGTACTGACTTTAGTGATGATGATCGAGGCTAGGTGGAAATTTCAATCGCTTAGTTCTCGGTTCATAGTGGATCAATTTGAATGAAATTTTCAGCAAATTGCCTTTAGATTATCTAGTTTTTTAACTACTATAGTGAGAACTCGTTATCGAATCTCCCATAATGTATCTTTAAGTGACGGGATGGGAATACTCTAAGTTAAGGGATGGGAATACTTGAAGTTAAGAGAGAGTTTTGTGTACTTACTAACTTTGTTGAATTTGTGTCTACTACCAATGTTGAGTTGTATTCTTCAGAATAATTTGCTAGGGTCGTCTTATCTTTAGCAACATTTTCCATACAAACCAGGGCCATAGCTATGCACGTCCTCAGGGCGAACATGGCCAAGGTACAAGATGCGCAGAGAAACGCAATCTGCCATCGGTGAGAAGTGTAGCGACGTAAACCTTTCTCTGGAGCCCGATTTTCCACCAATACACCGATTGAGCTAACTGAGGTGATACTCTTGGAATCCACATCTCCATTGGTCGAACCTTTGGAAGTTGCAAGACTTAATAGAAAACTGCACAACAAAAGGTAAACATAACAAAGGGCACTAGATTAGATAGACATTTCTATAGGAGATATATAAAATTGACACGAAAAAAAACCGAAAAACATTCTAAGTCTCTGGGCCTCATTTGCATATTTTGGGAAATGTACGCGGATTGATTATTCAACAATTGATTAAATTTTAAAAAGGCACCCTTCATAAAACTTTTCTTAGCTATAGGCTATTATCTCCTCAAAACAAACAGGGTGATCTCACCATTTACTAGCTTACTCTAATTGTTTTAATATTGAGGATATATTCAGTATCCCGTCCTAATACCACGTACATAACCACAACCCCACCAACTAGCCAACTGTAATTGTTTTAACATTGGAGATATCTTCAATATCCTTCCCTAATATCACCAGCACTACCACAGCCCATCAGCACTAAGTAGCCAATTGTAGTTCTTGTAACACTGGGGATCTCTTCAATATTCCTTCCTACCACCGGCACTACCACAGCCCACCAGCACTAAGTAGCCAACTGTAGTTCTTGTATCACTGGGGATCTCTTCAATATTCCTTCCTACCACCGGCACTACCACAGCCCACCAGCACTAAGTAGCCAACAGTAGTTCTTGTAACACTGGGGATCTCTTCAATATTCCTTCCTACCACCGCCCCGACGACAACCTCACCTACACTTACTAGCCAACTGTAGTTCTTGTAACAATGGAGATCTCTTCAATATTCCTTCCTACCACCGCCCCGACGATAACCTCACCTACACTTACTAGCCAACTGTAATTCTTGTAACACTGGGGATCTCTTCAATATTCCTTCCTACCACCGTCCCGACGACAACCTCACCTACACTGACTAGCCAACTGTAATTCTTGTAACTTTATAGATATTTTCAATTATTCCTCCTAATACCACCGGCACGACCACAACCCCTACCAACACAAACCAGCCAATTGTAATTCTTGTAACATTGGGATTCCTTCCTAATACTACCGGCACGACCACAACCCATACCAACACAAACCAGCCAATTGTAATTCTTGTAACATTGGGGATATCTTCAATATTCCTCTTAATACCACCGGCACAACCACAACCCCTACCAACACAAACCAGTCAATTGTAATTCTTTTAACATTGGGGATATCTTCAATATTCCTTCCTAATATTACCGGCACGACCACAACCTCACCAACACCAACCAGCCAATTCCTCCCTAATACCACCGCCCACCCCAACCAGAACCGCACTACTAACACCATACCTAGTTGATGCGGGTGTATATCATTATCTTTATTCCATGTTGAACGATTGGCACCAGAAATATTTTGACACAGCAAAATGTCCTCTACATTAAGTTATAATAGAAATAGAGAGAGAGAGGGAGAGAAATGTCCTCTATAATAGAAATAGAGAGAGAGAGGGAGAGAAATGTCCTCTATAATAGAAATAGAGAGAGAGAGGGAGAGAGAAATGTCCTCTATAATAGAAATAGAGAGAGAGAGGGAGAGAGAAATGTCCTCTATAATAGAAATAGAGAGAGAGAGGGAGAGAGAAATGTCCTCTATAATAGAAATAGAGAGAGAGAGGGAGAGAGAAATGTCCTCTATAATAGAAATAGAGAGAGAGAGGGAGAGAGAAATGTCCTCTATAATAGAAAAAAAGAGAGAGAGAAATGGGGTTTAACGGCCACTCGACACAAACTAGGTCATTTCAGGACTAACATATGGTTCAATTTTATTTCAATAATTTGCTTGGGCGTAATGGTCTTTAGCAGTGGGAGGAAAGAAGCAGGGGACCCGGAGAAAACCCACGAAGTTGGACAGGCGACCCTACTCCCTGTCACGTACAACCGGGGAATCGAAACCACGCCAGTTGACTCAATGACAGACCTTATGATACAACGCGCACCTGCTAACGATCCGGCCACCCCCCTCACCCCCCATAATAGGAATAACTTCCTCTACAAATAACATTTAAACTGGAAAGCAGTTTATTGATTTATTTATATTTACCAATCATCCCTGTCTTTATTCGAATATTTGATATCCAATATAAAATTAAGATCAATATATAAAGACAAATAACTTCTTCCTGTAGACATGTGTTATAGATTAGTTGTTCGGATGAGACGAAAAACCAAGGTCCTGTGTACATATTCGCGGGCACGTAAAAGAACCCTTGACAGGTCGATCAAAATTTATCTCATAGCACACCATATATACCAAACTTAAAATTGCACAAAAAGTAAAATTGTTCCTGAATTATTCGGGGGGTTGGATGGCCGAATGTTTAGCACGTGCGCGCTGTATTATGGGGTCTGTCATTGAGTCACTGACGTGGTTTCGATTACCCGGTTGTACGTAACAAGGAGTAGGATCGCCTGTCTAACCTCGTGGGTTTTCTCCGGGTCCTCTGGTTTCCTCCCACTGTTTAAGACCCCTACGCGCAAGTGAATTATTGAAATAAAATTGAACCATATGTTAGTCCTGAAATTATCTATTGTGTGGCAAGAGGACATTAAACCCTATTTCTCTCTCTCCATTGAATTATCGAAATAAAATTGAACCATATGTTAGTCCCGAAATGACCTGGTTTTGTGTCAAGTGGATATTAAACACCATTTCTTTCTCTTTCTCCCTCTCCTGAATTATTCAAAGTATAAAAAATATCTTATTTTTCAATCTAAAATTTTGCATTATAAAATAAAATGTGTAAAACTTACCGTCTTGTAAAAGTTGGACAGATTTTTTCGTCATGTTTAAAAAATAACTTTTTATCGTATAAAGCGGGTGTCCATATGATGAACTTAACTGCATAATTATATTTAATTCGGGTTCAATTATGGGTATCATTTTAGCACGTCATTGCAAGTACATGATTACTAAGGGGTGTTAGGTTATCTAGTGTTTACCTTCCTTCAAGTGACAGTTTCCGTGTAATGGCCGATTTTCACGTGTTTCCTAAATATCATACATTCTAGTAAGATGTAATAAAGAATTATGTAATAATGACATTTAGATTAACACGAATTGGTTATTAGCATGAACGCGTTGTGACTTAAAAAAAAATAGAATTATACATCATAAAAGTTTTATTAAGTGTAAAGAACACGTGAGACACTTGGTGGGTATCGGGCTCAAATTCACTCTTTGGGAGTTTGGAAGCCCGAATCTCACTCGACGGATTACGTCAACAGGAATGACGTCATGGGAAATGCCGTGTGCTTACGATTTCAGATGGGACAATAAACTCAAAAATCCAGGTGTCATCTTTGAGAAATAACTGATTTTCTATTCAACGTATCACAGTTGAAGTCAAAGGGTAAGTCGAATTTGTAAACAAGTCAACTGCCGCTTGATATTTCGAAGCTCCCTATATGCGAAGCCCGTCTTTATTAGCCCATTTTATTATATATCTGTAAACATACTGATTTCCGCTTAATATTTCAACACACGAAAGGTTTTCTTACTCTGGAAATCTATGTTCTGTATAATAGGGTCGGTTGTTGTTGTTCTTACTGTTTAACGTCCGCTTCCACTGAAGGTGATATCGCAGACATATTTAAAGGACGATGTTGCCGTTCACCAATTTAATATCTGTGTGTGTGTGTGTGAGAGAGAGAGAGAGAGAGAGAGAGAGAGAGAGAGAGATGGGGTTTAACGTCACTCGACACAAATTAGGTCATTTCGGGATTAACACATGGTTCAATTTTATTTCAATAATTCGCTTGCGCGTAGGAGTCTTAAGCAGTGGGAGGAAACCGGAAGACCCGGAGAAAACCCACAAGGTAGGCAGGTCACCCTACTCCTTGTTACGTACAACCGGGGAATTGAAACCCCGCCAGTTGACTCAATGACAGACCGTATGATACAGCGCGCACGTGCTAACCATTCGCCCCCGCCTCCATCTGTGATAGAATGAGATTAGCAGATTCCAAATACAATCACACTGGTCGATCGGTGATGTCTTCAGGCAACATACGGATGTGACGCAAATACTGGAAACGTGTTGCAGCGTTAAGAATATACGCGTTAAGAATGTATAATTCTGCTAAGACGAAGAAAAGAGTTTCGACGCCACGATTTTCCAGAAGAGACGGTGGTCCAACATGCCCCCCCCCCCCCCCCGTCCACCTCCCCAAGATGATTGCCATAACACAGTGGCCCCGAGTTCACAAACGATTTTCTCAGACTTAAGTTAAGAATTTACTCAACTTTTAATCACTGTTTATGAGAAATATCTTTGATCGAGAAATATGAAACTTTGCACATAGTTTCATATTGATGTATTTGATACATTAAAACAGTAAAAGATTTATAAAGGGCTATATTTTAGTTAAAATAAGGTAAATTCGTAAATTAAGTCTGAGAATGCTTTGTGAACTCGGGGCCGGGAGTATTCCAAACTAAGTATAACAGTTCATATGTACTTATTAGCTCGACCAAGCCATATTTAGAAACATTAGGTCAAAGGTCAAGATAAACATCGTCTCTAATCAGATCACTGATGATGACACAAGTGATGACGATGATCACAAAAACTTTATTGATAAGGTCTCCTGAACATAAAAAAAACCTATAGGGCCTCAAATAAAAAATCTCGGATGATAGCATTAGCCGTTTTTTGTTCTTAATAGTGTAGCAGATAACCTTGAAATTGGCACAAATATTCCTTGGTTTACTACTCTTTTGAAAAAGCTGATTAGCCATACGAAAATCCAAGATGGTGGTTATATTCAAGATGATCGACATTCGGGCAACGAAATATCGCTTTTTACGATAAAATCAAACCAAATTGCCCTATTTTATTGATCCTTAACATGCATTTCAAGTTTCATTTAAATCGGGCTCAAAATTGTCTGTTCTAGAGGATCCACAAACTTCAAACAATTCACATTTTTGCGTAAAAGGCAAGGGCCGTAACCTAAGACATTGCGACCTGGTGCACCATCAAGATCTTTTGGAACTGACCTCGAGAGTTGATTATGGTCTGGATAAGTTAACTAATGTCTTAGGCAGATTTAGCTCTTGCATAATGTATGTTTAAGGCGTTGGATGACGGTGATGACCCGGACAGTGGGTGGGTGGTTGGGGCAGGTGGAGACAACCGGGGTTATGCGTACAAGATCATTGGACAGTTTGGAAGATAGTTAGCCAAAGAGGGGGTGTCCGGGCACCATTCTTTCTTGTCATTGGACACGTGACCATAAAGTACAGTATGTGAGCTCCGATATTTTCGGGGGGTTGGGTGGCCGAATGGTTAACACGTGCGTGTTATATCATACGGTCTGCCATTGAGTCAACTGGCGGGGTTTCGATTCCCCAGTTGTACGCGCTGTATCATACGGGCTATCATTGAGTCAACTGGCGGTGTTTCGATTCCCCGGGTGTATGTGACAAGGATTAGGGTCGCCTGTCCACCCTCGTGGGTTTTCTCCGGGTCCTCTAGTTTCCTCCCACTGCTAAAGACCCCTACCCGCAAGCGAATTATTGAAATAAAATTGAACCATGTGTTAGTCTCGATATAACCTTGTTTGTGTCGAGTGGACGTTAAACCTATCTCTCTCTCTCTCTCTCTCTCTCTCTCTCTCTCTCACGATGCATTATGTAAGAACTAAATCTGTCTAGTGTAGGTCTCTCTCTCTCTCTCTCCGATATGTACATTCCATTATTCAACGTGTGGTCAATCACTGACGAGTATTTGTGACGATATGATTGATGTAGGATCGCCTTCGCCCCATGATCCCCGCTACCCCCCACTGTTCCTGTTAACTAGTAATAATATATTGACCAAATAATTAACATAACATATCCTTGAAACACTTTTAGCTCAATTCAAAACACTCATTGGAACAAGATATTTTGGCGCGATCCCACAGTATACCGCATTTGCAATCTTTGTAACAACCATCGTCGCCAACTTTCTCACCGATATTGTACGTCTTCCCATCTTTGATACACTGAATCGGACTACGTTCAACTAGTCTTTTTCCTGAAACATAAACATATAGACGACATTATCACCTTCTTGTCACGTGTGAGCTATAGATCATAAGGTCTGTCATTCATGTCTATCGCACGCATGTACGTGAGAAAGAGTAGGGTCGCCTGCACAAACTTCGGGAGGGGGGGGGGGCTCCCGCTCTCCCACCCCACACGCAAAATTAAAGACCACTAGGCCTACATGCAAGCGAATTATTGAAATAAATCTGTACCATATGTTAGTCCCAAAATGTTCTACTTTGTGACAGCAGCGTTTACGGCTACTAGTCTTTAAATTCCGGTTGCCAGGGGTTGATTTACGTGAACGACAATATTTACACGGGGTCTTGGTTTTTCGAACAACTGTGCGCTTTTCCATACTAAGTGACCAGTGACAATGGTTACGGTTACTAGGGAGATAACTCTTGATACCAAGCCTTGCACTAGTGACAATGGTTACGGTTACTAGGGAGATATAACTCTTGATACCAAGCCCTGCACCAGTGACAAACAAAGCAGTTAATAGCAGGATAACATTGGTTGATAAATAAAAGCTTATAAAATACATCGTGAAGCGGTATCGGGTTTTCTCGTCACCCTTCACTACACCGAAATGAGATTTTTTTTTCTTCTTTTTTTTTGCACCGATTGGGGAAATAAAGATGGGAAATTTTGTTGTGGCCTACTCTTATATCGAATTCCAATTGTCAATTTATTTAAGTGCACGTCAATATGTACACGGGACCTCGATTTTTTAACCCATCTGAATGACTAGACAGCTTTCCTTGCCAGACCCTCGGTCCAGCGGCCACTGACAAGAGGAAACCACGCAATAAAATCCCAAGGAACGTCTTACACACTGAGCCACTGCGACACGCTACATTATTGAGATTTACCAAGATGGATAAAACAATAAATAACAATACCTGCCTGTGGTGGTACAGCATCCTTATTTTGTATACTTGCACCTGTAATAGAAAAACAAATTATTTTAAAGTATATCCTAAAGTATCAATATTGTTATTTATAATAACTATAACCACCTCCAACCATTATATGGAGTAAACACATGTTATATTATGGTCCTCTATAAACTTATCTTACACACCACCTCCAACCTTTATATAGAGTTAAAACATGTTATATTATGGTCCTCTATAAACTTATCTTACACACTACCTCCAACCTTTATATAGAGTTAAAACATGCTATATCAAGGTCCTCTATAAACTTATCTTACACAACACCTCCAACCTTTATATAGAGTTAAAACATGCTATATTATAGACATCAATAAACTTAAAACATGCTATATGGACTAAGACTAGTAACTAGTAATGTAGTGAGAGTTATAAATAGACAATTTTTCCCTTAATTTTTTTCTCCCCTCTTCCTGCATTTTTGGGTTGACTTTTTGGTCTAGAATTGGAGAAAAGGGATCAAATTTGCAATTTCATAGCAGTTTTGGGTAATACTGATGATATTACAGTGGAGGGATAGGGGATGTAAATTGTCTTTCTGCAGAGCAATCATTGTGTCGGAAGTGAGATTTTCGCCCCTGTCAACATCAAATCTCCGTAGCAAAAAATCTAAATGGTCAACCCCCTACAAATTTATGATGAGGATATTGCCAAATGTGGTCTCCATTGTGCCTATAAAGATTGAAACCAACGGAATGTTGAGCAAATAGCTACAGTCTGTGATGTTACAGCCATTTAACATTGAAGTCAATAATTGTTAGTCCTTATTAAGGTCCTCTTTAAACTTATCCTACACACCATCGCCAACCTGTACATAAAGTTAAAACATGCTATATTATGGTCCTATATAAACTTATTGAATCTTATAAACCTCCCAGTTTCTCAAATACAACGTTTGAAAACTCTAATTTTTCAATTGGTAGACTACAAAACTAACGTTTGTTCAC